AGACATAGTTGATCCTCCAAAAAAAGAGGAAGCACAGTATGAATTGAAATCCTCGAACATCAGTGAAGAGCATCTCAATTCAGACATAGTTGATCTTCCAAAAGAAGAGGAAGTACATTCTGAATTGAAATCTTCAAACATCAGTGAAGAGCATCTCAATTCAGACAAGGAAGGAGAGAACCCAAACATTGAGAGTGAGGAGTCTAGAGGATTGGAGTCTGAAAACCAAGAAGGGACAAAGCAGGTGGCAGAGAAGAATCTAGGTAAGGAGAAAGAGGCAGAACCTGCCTCTGATGGAACTGACATTCGTGGTGTGGAACCTACAAGGAGTTCAGCTGCACAGTCCTCGGATCTTGGCCCAGAGGCACAAAGACCTACTTGGCCTGAAAAGGCTGAGACACTTAAGAACTTTGTTAAGGAGAAAGGAACAGTTGCTTTCTCTACTGTCGCTTCTGTATCTACTTTTCTTCATCGTCTTTCCAGAAGAAGAGATGAAGATAGACAAAAGTTTCCTCATGATGAAGAGTATCATGATAATTCAGGGATTAAGGAGGGAGAGGATTCTTCGTTGGGAAGCCAAGCAAAAGAAGCCTCTCAAAAAACAGCGGAAAGATCCACATGGAATCCTTTTATCTATTTCAAGATTGCATGGGATGTAGATACACAGAGCAAAAGGGAGGAAAAGGAAGAAGCATGCACTGAAGAATTAGTACAACCACTACCAATGAAGGGAAGAGTAATACTTTATACAAGGCTCGGTTGCCAGGAAAGTAAAGAGGTTAGGCTATTTCTACGTCAGAAAAGGCTAAGATACGTAGAGATTAACATTGACATCTTTCCGAGTCGAAAACTAGAACTGGAGAAGAACACTGGATCTTCTGCTGTTCCTAAGGTGTTTTTCAATGAATTCCTGGCCGGAGGACTGAGTGAACTCAAGGCCATGGATGAATCTGGAAAACTTTCAGAGAGGATTCAAGATCTGATTACTCAAGAACCATCTGCTGCAGCTCCTATGCCACCATTTTCTGGTGAAGATGACATCTCCAGTAGTGGGACAGTGGATGAATTGGCTGTTATTGTTCGGAAGATGAGAGAAACTATTGTGGTCAAGGACAGGTTTTATAAGTTACGCAGGTTCACCAACTGCTTTCTAGGGTCAGAAGCTACAGATTTTTTATCAGAGCATCAGTACTTGGAAAGAGAAGAGGTTAGTTCTTATGCACTTTTAATCTTGGGGAAAGCCTGAGCTTACATCCACTTAATTATGGCACCAGCATAAATGACTGTAAACATTCAGGATTCCAAGCCTCCAAATCTATTGAGGTCACCTCAGGGATATTCTATGCAATAAACTGGCCTGATAAGGATGGTTCTCACAAGACAATTGCTCACATTTCTTCGTCTCTGGACAAAAATGTGACAAACATCCAGAGTCAAAGGTTTAATGGCAACAGGCCAATTTTTTGTTCAGAATATCTCCTAGGCAGGGGCCAATAGGGTAAGAGAGTCCCACTTCCCTGATTTTTGTGATTAACCCAATAACACTCTTAGTTTAAGTTTATTTATACTGGATAATTGCCCTTTGGATTTTGGTATTATTGGCCATAAAGGAAATCATACAATCTTGTAGGCCTGAGGTGTTCTCAGTGCTCTAATTGTTATGGTTGTCTTAGGTTATCTGCTTTTAATTGAATATTAATTCTTCAAGGTTGGCTGGAGCTTTGAAGAGAGTATATGGATGTATTTATCTTTAAATATATATTGGTCTTGCTCTCATGCATTATATGTTAGTCTGGTATATAAGAGAATAACCATTAAAACGGTCAAACTTTTTTGGACCACGTTCAATGACCTACAAATTGACCTGTTATAACCATGTGCACAGCAAAAATCTTAGCTGTATGATCTCTGACTAAAAAAGGCCACTACCCAATACTGGTCCTGGCTATCTTGGGTTTTGGGAGGGGTAGACTGGATATGGAGCTAATCTCTACCATTTTTTGCATGAAATGGCTACCCTCATACTCAAACCCGTGGTTTCATGCTTATCAGTTCTTTCTGTGACCTATAAAGATTCTGGGTCTTGAAGCCCCAGCATGAGTGCTGCGACCTCCTAACTTTTAATTCATTCTTTATGGTGCTTGACAAATCATATTGTATAACACTAAGACTTGGTAGCATTCTTGTTCTATCTCAATCCTATGTTCACTTAGTGTTCTTCTTTCTCCTGGTTTTTATGAGACAGGCTATTGAGCTTGGACGAAAGCTTGCAAACAAACATTTCTTTTGGCATGTTCTTGAGTATGTTTCTTGGCACTGTTCCTCTCAGGATATGCATACTTTCTCTCTACATCTTGTGTTAGTGTTGTTAGATTCAGATCAGACCACATGATTAAACTATGATAAATCCCCAGAAAAGTTTTCTATATGATCTCTGTTTCCAAAATGTTGATTTGGTAAAATCTTCTTAAATATGATTACAAGGTGTTATGCAATATAATATTTTTGTTTTGAAACTTCTATTAGACATTAAATTAATGAAAAGATGAGTTTTAAGTTTTTATTACTTTCATTGATTTTTCATGCATTTTTACTTGTGCAAATCGCATGGTCAGACGAATTGACCAGTGACCTGTCACATTCAGCGGGTTGATGTCCAGTCTGGTTTTGACAACACTATTTTGTGCTCACTATTTGACACATGTTCTGATGGGATGATTATTTCCTGTTTGTTCTCGATGAGGTTTGCTATCCAGCGAGAATGTCTTTGAAGATGGCAACCATTTATATCGGTTCTTGGATCATGATCCCATCATCTTGTCTCAATGTCACAATTTTCCAAGGGGCACCATTGATATGAAACCAAAGTCCATTGTCGAAATTGCATCAAGGTTGAGATATTTGTCATTCGCAATCTTTGAAGCTTACACCTCTGAGGATGGAAAACATGTTGATTACAGAAGTATCCATGGCAGTGAGGAGTTTGCAAGGTTTTCTGAATATTAAAATTTGAAGTTATAAATGAAAAATGTTAACAAGTGTCTGTTAACTTTTTCTAATTTTCTTTTTCTATTTCTGCACAGGTATTTAAGAGTAGTTGAGGAGCTTCAGAGGGTAGATCTGCAGGATATATCCAGGGAGGAGAAACTTGCTTTCTTCATAAATCTGTATAATATGATGGCCATCCATGCAATATTACTCTGGGGTTATCCTGTTGGAGCATTGGGGCGGCGAAAAATGCTTGGAGACTTCAAGTATGTTGTTGGCGGATGCACCTACTCACTTTCATTTATTCATAATGGCATCTTAAGGGGAAATCAACGACCCCCATACAATCTGATGAAGCCCTTTAGTGTGAGAGACAGACGTTCCAAGGTGAGATATGGCAACCCCTGTTTCGAGATAGTAGAGATTTGAATGTCCATCTTATGCATTGCTCCAGACAAGTAATGGCTGTTGGACTGGATCAGGTATCCCTTTCAAATGCAGAACCACTAGTTCATTTTGCTCTGGTCTGTGGCACCCGGTCAGGGCCAGCTCTTCGATGCTACTCACCTGGAAACATTGACAAGGAGCTGAAGGAGGCAGCCTATGATTTTGTAAGGAATGGAGGTGTAAATTTTGATGTGGAAGCAAAGGTGGCATCAGTCAATAGAATTCTTCGATGGTAAGTTTCTAAAGAATACAGGAACAATTTTTAGTGTTTATCAACATGATAGTCGTTTGCACAAAGAAAAGCTTTCTTCCCAGTATGGGCGAAGGTAATAACAAAGTCAGGACAGCTGGAGAGCAAGAGTTTTCTTTCTATACTTGTGCTAAGTTGGCATATTTCTAGTGGAATTACCCAATTTTTGGACTAATTACTTCTGGATGGTCTCCAGTCTGTGGTTGCTGTGAGTGGTTCATTCTGTTTCGAGAACCATGCATTTCCCCAGAGATTATTCTAGTTCTTGTGATAACTAACATTGTGGTGGTCTGGCTTTGATTTCTCTTTGCTTCTAATTTTCAGGTATAGCGTAGACTTTGGCAAGAATGACACAGAGGTATTGAAGTATGTAGCCAACTATCTGGAGCCGGAGAAGTCAGAGAAGTTGCTGGAGTTGCTTACTAACACTCAATTGAAAATGACATACCAGACCTATGACTGGGGCTTGAACAATTAGCATTCAAATAAGCTTCCTTCTGTTTAATACCTTACATTCAGGCAAAAGAGGTAGACATGGACCAAATGAAGGAAGAAGAAGATAGCTGCAATCTTCTTCCTTCTGTTACATAAAATCCTCAATGTGGGAATTTTCATACTCCCGTAGCTAAGACAATCCTGTCCTTTTGAAGACCCACTTTATATGCCATATGCGGTTGAGCAACATCTTGTCAAAAATGAGTTTAAATGTTTACAGCATTTGAGAGAACAATTAATTTATCGGTTTTTATTTCCTTTTGCACCTTATGCAGATCAAATTTCTTACCCTGTAGCAGCACATCAAGTCGGTTTTTACTTGTTCATTTTAATGTATGAGATGCCTCAAACTGCCGAATAATATCAATGACCAAAACGAAAATGTGCAAATGATATCTTTTTCTTTTCGCAAGTATATTTACACCAATTTTGATGAAATAGCTCTCTACTTTGCAGTTTGCATACTAGTACGGTAGTACCATCTACGAACTGGTCATTTCTTCCAATGTATTTTTGGTGTCTGATCCAATGCACATCTGATAAACATTTCATGATAGTTATAGTCTTTTAGAGCCTCTTCCCGTCCCATACGAAAGGGCATATTTGATGATACTCCAAGTAAAGATCATCGTGCTTCCCCAACCCATTGATTCGAAACGTAGTATGCCTCTACTTTGCATACTAGTACCATCTCCTAGTAAAGTATGCCATTGATACGAAACGTGGTACTGCTAACAGATCATCGTGCATCCCCAATCCATCAATCCATTTAACACCCATCAGTATTTATGGAACAAAAAATGTGTATGACCCAACCTAGGGCCATTCTTATTCTAATCAAGGTTCTAAATATTGATACGCCCAATACATCGGTAGGGGCGTATCAGGCAGTATCGGTACTTTTTTTTTTCAAAACCAGTTAGGGGGGTTGGTTTAAGGCTCTTCCACCCCCTGAACCAGTCAGAACCCCGATACACCATCTGTAGGAGCGTATCTACGTGTTGACTTTTTGAACCTTGATTCTAGCTAATGTTTTCGAACCATTGTTGACTTAGATGGTTGGACCGTTCAGTCCAAAAATCATCCAAGCAACCAGATTCCATTTTACCCCAAACCCTGGCCAAAAACCATTGAATTGGTCAATGACCCATTGACCCAGGTGGTCGAACCACCAACCCGTTCAATAGTTTTGGTCATTTTTATATTTTAATTATTTTTAATTTTTTTTATAAAAATGGGCCATGCCCTAAACCGGTGGCCAGAATAGTTCCCATTCCTGATCGTTTTTTGAAACATTGATTCTAACCCAACCTGCTGCACCACCCATTGAAATCTAACCAAACCCATTCTACGGATAATGAGAAGGCAGGTGGAGGACGAGGGGAGAAATAGTATAGACGAATTTTGGGGGGAGGGAGCCAAATGCTTGCAAATTGGCATGGCATCCATATAACAAGTATTTCTTCTTGGAGTTGCAGGACCTATATTCAAGAGACGTGCAAACGTTGATTCCTCGTGTCATATTTTAATTGCTTTAAATCTTGGTAGGGCAATTTCAATAAGAGGCTGGTTCCTAGTAGTACTTAACCTGAATAATTATCAAGGCCAAGGAGGGGATGGTAGAAGGTTTTCTACTTTCCTTTTCGACAAGGCTAGCAAGTAGCTAACCGCACAGCACATGAGACGCGGTGGGGCTCCTGAAATGGCAGGCAGCAGGCTAGATTCGCTAGAAGACAAGAATTTTGGCGGCCCCAACTCGTCTACAATGTACAGGCTACAGCATGTTGGACAGGCAGTGAGCTGCCTTCTTTTCACACTACTGATATAACTTCCCAACAGGGCATAACTTCCAGTATAAACGCTTAGGGCCCATTTGGTTCCCTGGAATAGGGGTCTGGAATTGGATCCATTCCAACTATTTGATTGGATTGAATCAGAATTTCATTCCCATTTCTGGTAGAATGGCATTCCCCTATTTGAAGGAACAACCATTCCCTCCCTTTCCTTGGGAATCAAATCTCATTCCAGCTGATTACAATTCTCATTCTGATTCCTATCTGAAATCCTGATTGTAAACCAAACGGACCCTTAGATTCTGTTTGCTTGCTTGATTCTAGAAAGATGGCGGGTAACTGTGTTTGTTGTTGCCCTGACACATCAAAGATTAAATTTTATGAGAAAGAATTGTCATACAACTCATATTTCCTTCTTTGTTTCTTCTCTTAACTCTACAACTCAACTACGTCTCATGTAGAGACCCCTCTCTCACTCTCCCAACAATCCACAAATAAAGCACAAAGTTGTGAAGAAAAAATCCACTCCATCGACCAGAAAGGCAATCAAAATTGAATATCAATCGACATTTGTGCTTCATTCATATCAACTGTGAAGCCAAAACTCCAATTCTCCAAACTGATGTGCGGATAGGTTAAGACCATCAGCAACTGAAACCTGCGCCAAAAATAGAGGGATCAGGTTAAAATGATAGAAATGGGCTTTAATAACAATACGACTGCTGTATTGACAACTCGTAATGGTAACCCCAGGATACATAAAAGGAGGTTAAGCTATCATCTCAAAGGAAGCAATTGGTTCTCATATTTGATGAAATGGTCCAACTCTTCTGTTCTCTGACCACTTATGCCACTGCTGAAATGTTATTTTGCATGCCAAGGAAAAGGCAGTAATGACTAATCATTACACATTTAAGAAACGTACACGAAGGTCATGTCTTTTTGAGGATAATACACCAGTTAGATTTATCATAGAACTGATCAAGGATGATGGCATTGCTGACGCCAGATGCTAACCTGCAAAAAAATGGGAAAAAAAAGATGAAAACCTTTTGTATAGATAGAATGCAGTCAGAACCAGGTTAATAAAAAACAAAATATGAAAATGTGAATGATTACAAGAATCCGCCTGAGAATTTTATAGGTTAGGATATTATATGTGGCATATCCATGTCTTCATCAGACACTCTTCATGTGTACTATTCAGCTGAACAACTCTTGACAGTTTCCATTACATTATGGTTACACAGTCAGTGTGATGAAAATACATCATACACTGCCTGGTTCAAACTTAACACCTGTAGAATGTCTGGCATCATCCCTCTAAATGGGTTAGTAATTGCTCTGTGAGATAATTCTTATACATTAATGTACAACAAAAATATTCTCCATTCATGAATGAGTCTTCATTCCTTCTGGTGGATAAGGATTGAAAATGCAACTGTAGTTCCAACATGAAGAGCCTCCTAATGTAGGATGCTAGAAGCCAAATAGAATACACTCACAAAAGCCACAGAGATATATAAAGTATTCCCCTTCCTTACAAGGTCAAGTAGCTTGTACCTTTTTTTTCTGATAAAGGTAAGGTCTAACTTGACAAAGTGGTTCTAAATGTGGTTCAAAAGCATAAGACAACATATCAAAATGGATAAAACAGAGACAAACAAATATTCAAAATAGTTCCTATAAGCTGTCTCACATGATTTTTTAATTGATCACTGAACACACACACACAGAATTGTGAATGTGAAATGTGAGAATACAGATTGACACATAGGAGAGAAATATATAGAAATATGGTCACAAACAAAAATTATATTTAAAATATAATAGTAGCAATAACTAAGAGGAAGGAAAAACTATAGAAATATTATGAGCTTATTAGAATAAAAAATAGGTTCAAAAGGAAAAAAATTGGATGATCCTAGAAAACTGAATTATTTCTAGGCATAGTTTTCAAGGTGCCAAGGCGAGGCTAGGCGAGAAGGGGGCTGCCTTGTCTTTTTCTTTGCTTCATGGGGCTACACAACAGGGGGTAGCCCATCCCCTTTCCCTTAACCCCCCCAACCCCTGGTGGCAGCGGGATTTGATCCCAGGTCTCTACTCCGACGAGTCAGAGAACCTACCAACTGAGCCACCATCAGTTGGCCTATTTTAGTTTAATAGTGCCTATTTTATAATTATAATGTCAAAAAATAAAGAATAAAAAAAGAATATAATACATAATATAAAACTGTTTGGCGATTAGGCGAGGCGAGCCTCAAAGGGCGCCTTGTCGCCTTGACAACTATGTTTCTAGGCCTAATGAGATATAGATGGGAAACAAAAACCAAACTTGGTCTAATAAAAATGTTGAAATATCCTTATTGCATGTCTTGATGATAGAGCTCTAGCAATGCTAGTGCTATTTATGACAAAAAAATTATAAACAAAAAAGCCTAAAGACATTGTGAAAATGAACATATATTTTAATGGTGCATAAGCAACTCTGCTTAGGGAAAGATAAAAAGAAAACAAAGAAAAGCTACAAAGCCATTAGCAGAGCAAATAATGTTGTTACCTTTCCAACTCGCCTTCAATGAACACATGGTAATACCTATTGTAAACAACAGCACCCTTTTTATCATCTTTTTTTGCCAACCCATTTGCAAGAGCCCGAGCAGATTCACCACTGACTTCTGCACGATGATATGGTAAGTGCCAAGGGACGAAATATTCCTGTTGGTTCTTATTGTTAGTCCAATTTTCATAAGCCACTGAACCATCTAGCTTTTGCAAATGTGTATGTTTATTTGACATTTGTTTCTCCTGACAATCTCCAAAACTATTCTCCTCAGTTTCTGATATGCTCTCTAGTGTTAAGGAAGAAGGACTACGGACACGAGGACTACCAGGACCTATCCACTCCTCTGTGTACTTATTTGTAAGAGGGGTCCACTTTGTAACCAATGACTTATCTTCCTGTTCTACAGCCCAAACCGTTATTAGAACCAGGCCACCCTTCTTAACAACTCGAACTAATTCTTCTATAGCTTTCTTCCTTCTACTTTCTGTGCTTAGGTGATGCAATACAGCAATAGAGATTGCTGCATCACCAAAACCTGTTCTATAAGGAAGATTTACAGCATCTGCAACCATTGCTTCATGACCTCTTCCTGCACATATATTGATCAGAGGTGCACTTATATCACAGCCTATAAAAAAGCAATCAGGATTTAAACCCAAATATTTCCCATTCCCACATCCTGCATCCAGGATGAGAGATCCGAGTGGCAAGGAGTTCAAAAATGTGGCCACTTTTGGCCATTTAGCAAATCGAGTGGAGCTAAAATGGGGAGCAATGGCATCATAAACATGATGAACATACTTCTTTTCAATGTCTGGGGTGGATTGGACACTTGAAAAGGAACACCTCTCATCATGGCATACTGATATAGACTTTTGAATATGAAGTCCTCCCTCTGATACAAGTGAAGAAAATCCAGGCGAACCATCTTCTTGAAAATCTGTCATCGATTTGAAGGTTCTCAGATGACCAACACTAAGTACTATGCCAGAAAGAGAAGGAAAGACCTCATGAGATTGATGAAGGTATCTCCTTGCCCTTGTAACATTAAAAAACATAAGATTGCAACACAGGCTCTAAGTTGATACCCTGCAATGATACCATCATACTACAGTGATGAATAATCCAATTTCACACATTACACATGCATAAAAAAGTGCTACAAGAAGTGAGTCACAAGTTTCCTTAAAACTTATTGGGCAAGTATCACAAGCCCAACAAAATTTAGAAGCACAAATATAAGGATTCATTTTGAAGTTCACAAGACCAGTGACAGAAAACTAATTTAGCAGCAAAATCTTCCTTCTGCAAGTTGACATAAAACATGATAATATGTGATGCAAAATGAACATTATTGAAATATAAATGTCCAGGGTAAGCAATAAGTGGGATGCAGAATACTACCCAATGTAAAATTTCAAATTAAAGGCCAATTATTCCAAAATTACAAGTTATAGACCAATTATACAAACACATAGTTCTGCAAGAAATTACTTTTTTCGTGGGGGAGGGGTTTGCATTTTTTTTCCTTGTTTTATTGGTTTTAGGAATAATTTAAGTAGGAGCCCAATTATTTTTCAAGTCTGCACTTTTGGTAAAATTTGTATTTATTATTTACAAAAACTCCTGCACTTAATCATGAATTAAGTATTCATAGTAGTTCCTGGATTATCTTGTGTATATTTCAGCGTTTTTTGGTGTATTAGTTCTAATATTAGAAATGTTTTGGTAGTCTATAAATACGGATTTCTGTAATAGAAATGTTTGGAGAATATTGAATTCACAAAATTCCAAACCTTTTATTCTTAATTTAGTAGATCAAGCACGAATTTGGGATTAGGACACCATGGAAATCGCCAAATCAGTTTTGGTATGTTCAAGATCGCGAGTTGGGAATTGAGAGTGAACAAGAAGGGAATCTCTTTCTCTTAGGTTACAATCCATGAATCCCGTGATGACATTTATGAATTAGGTTACAATGTATAAAGTGAATGTCAACACCCAAAAACCCACTCCCAAAAAAAGCACCAATTGTATTATGGTATACGCAAAAAGCTCCCCAGATAGAGAGATAAGAGAGCCCATTTTGAAGAAATTTCAAATTAGTAAATTCATACGGATTTTTTCCCACAAACATTCAAAACCATATGATTTGAACAAATAGGTTTTTCCTGCTAAAACTATAGAAACTCAAAATCTGAATGTCAACAAAATCTGGGGAATCGATTAGCAAACAAGATATATATTACAGAAGGGAGCAAAAGGCAGAATGAATATGAGCTTCAGTGAGATTGAATTGAAATAATAAGAATACAAAGCTAACCAGTAAGATTGAGAGATACGAAGGAGAATAGAAAACTTACCCGGTCAGAGTAAGCAAGCGTTAGTCGCTGTGATCCGGTGCCGTACGCAGGGAATACCGACGAACGTATTGACTTTAATCATCAGGGGCTAGCGCCGGAGTACGGTTTAACTTGGACTCAGATTGAAAAGGGTGGAGTGTTGATGAACTGTAATCTAGGCCGTAGCTCGGAGTCGAGAGTACGGGTGAGCAAGTGTGTAGGGTCTGAGCAGAGCAGAGCAATGTTAGGGCATTTCGACTTCGAGAGTCGAGTCTAGTCTAGAGCTGTAATGTGGGCCGGGCCGGCACGGCCCCTGCTGGGCCATGCCAGCCTAGTCTGCAGAGACGACACAACATGGTTAGACCTGTTCAAGGGCCGGGCCGGGCCGGGCTTTTACTCTTCGTTAATGGAAATACGTTAGGCTCGAGCCCGGCCCTGATAAAAAGCCCGAAGCCCGAGCCCGAGTCCGAATCCCAACCCAATAAAAAAAATTAGAATTTTTCCCTGTTCCGGCCATTTATTACTGTTCGTGGTGCTATCAAGCATTTCACTTACATTCTCATTCTGGTTTTCACTGTTATCGTTATCGTGGAGGTGTGGAGCCACCAGCTCTTCAGTGAAGGAGCTCTTTAGTTCTCTTCTCGTAAACTTATTCAAGGCTTCCATTAATGCAGCATCTCGAGCTTCAATCCAAGCTCGCTCCTTAGCCTAGAACTTCTGTTCTCTATCCAACCGAGCTGCCTCCTGCCTCCTCCATTCTTCCTCCCTGGACATCCTCTCTTGTTTCTTGTGTTCTAAGGTCTTCAGCATTTTCTTCAGCCAGGCCTCTTGCGTCTCCATTAACTTCCTCATCTGCGAGTCCACAAACTCTCTAATCTTCGACTTCCAGCTCCGTCGACCCCTCTTAAATCCTTAGCAGTCTTTCGACATCATCATCATTATCTTCTTCTCCTTCCAGTCGTTTCCCATGTAGGCAATAGCGTTGAGATCATTGTCGTTGTCTTCAGATGATGAAGAATCCAATTCAGAGGAATTCGACAGGCTGAGGCTCTCACTGAACTTTTGAGCTTGCAAAGCTTCCTGGGTACTGTTATTTGTGGTTCGAAATCGAGGACTGGTTTCAACAACTTGGGTTTTGACAGTGATTAGACATGTTCATGGGTCGGGTCGGGCCGGGCTTTTACTCTTCATTAACAGAAATATGTTAGGCCCGAGCCCGAGCCCAGCCCGACCAATGGGCCTACAACTTGAGCCCGAGCCTGGCCCTAATAAAAAGCCCAAAGCCCGACCTAATAAAAAAAATTAGAAATTTTTCCTATTCAATAATCAATATAAATCAGAATATATTTATATTAAAAAATATATAAATTCAAAATTTACTTATATTAAAAAAAGAATATAAAAAAGGGAAAGAGGATGTGGAGAAGAAGAATTCGGTGGGAAAAAGAAGGCAAAGAGGTAAAAAAAATAGGGGTATTCAACTACGGTTTTTAGGTTTAGTTATAGGTCGGGTCGGGCTATTTTGACAAATCCCGAGCCTGGCTCGAATTTATTGTGGGTCGGGCTTTTTGGCCCGAGGTTAAGCCCGCGGGCCTATACCGTCGGGCCACCCGGCCCATGAAGAGGTCTAACAGTGATCACTAATCAGTTCGCGTTAGAGAGAGAGAGAGAGAGAGAACTCACCGTCGCCACCGGAGTTGTTGCATCGATGAACGTTTGCCGCCTCACTATGGAGTGTGGAGGATGTGGAGATTTGAGAAAAAGGGTTCGGCTGGAAAAAGAAGGGAAAGAGGCAAAGAGGTAAAAAAAGAGGGGGGTATTCGACTAGGGTTTTTAGGTTTAATTTTAGGTCGGGTCGGGCTATTTTGGCAAATCCCGAGCCCGACTCGAATTTATTGCGGACTGGGCTTTTTGGCCTGAGGTTAAGCCCACAGACCCATATACCTGTTCAAGCCCGTCCGAGGGCCGGGCCGGCCCGTCGGGCCACCCGGCCCATGAACAGGTCTAAACATGATACAGTTAGGGTTGTAATCGGATCAGATTCAGATTGGATGCAACAAAATCCGCATGAGATCCGAAGTGCAATCGGATTTAAAGACTCGGAATCAAATTGGAATTCTAATGGATTCGAATTGGACTTGAATTTAATCCGATTCCGTTCTAAATTTTCTAAAATACCAGAAAATTATAAATTTATTTTTTTTTAACTTTTATATATAATAAATTAATATAAATATAACATAATAGATTTATTATAATATAATCAAAAGCGGATTTTAATCAGATCGAATTGGTCAAATTCAAATCGGATGTAGATCGTAACATTCAATTCCATCCGATTATATAAATATATCATCCAAATCCAAGATAATTGGATCAGACGAGTTGAGCCTCGGACTTTTGAGTATCATCGGCTTGGTATGGGTGTGGCACATGAGAATATAATCATTGGAGGGAGGCCAAGTGACCAACGACTATATTTGTATTATTTTTTCAATGATTTTTTTATTTTTTAGTATAGATTAAATTTGAAGTGAAATAAATTTTCACAATTTTTTTTTCAATTTATTGTCTATATTTCATGTTAATTTTCTTCTGTTATATGCTTTTTTTCTAATTTTTCTTAGGAAAAATGAAAAGGAAAAAGTAGGCCCAGCCTGAGCTAGACCCAACATGTCTAGGAACGGGGTCATAGCCCATAGGCCATGCCAAAGCCTGACCTAAGCTACCTAGGGGACCATGCTACCCAAGCACGGACCGACCCATATGGCATCTAGGCTACCATCAGTCCATGCCATGCCCACATTACGGGTTAGTCGAGATTGAAGTGGTTAGAGAGAGAGATTTAAAACTTAAAAGTTAAGGGAAATTTCCCAATCAGTACCCTGTATTTTGGCTTGAGTTACAATTTGGTTCCTTAACTTTAAAATGTGATAATATAGTACATGAATTTTTAAAATGCAATAATCTAGTACCTACCATTAACTATTCATTAAGTGTCATGTGAAAAGACACAAATGCCCTTCAAGTGCCATCTAATTTTCTTTATCAATTATATGCTAAAATCAAAACCAACCATCAAACTTTTCAGCCTCAACAAGCTACATTCAATGGGAGATGAACAATGAACAAAGCAATAATTACAATCATTTCAAATTTAGTTCCCTTGAAGGAGAGAGAGAGAGAGAGAGATAGCTTGGTTAACTTGATTTCTAGCAACGGTAGCATTCCTTGCAATCAGAACTCTTTTCTCTCCCAAAACCTTCGGATCAAAATCAAATGTTGGATATTCGTCGATGCTATACAACTCTCTGAAGCTTGCTCATCTCTTGTGTTTCTCAGCCGCTTTTGGCACAACTCTTTGGATTACCTTTATCGGCGGAATTATCATGTTCAAGTATGTTAACCCCCACTCCTCTCGTCTCCCACTCTATCTCTTATATAATCCCCAAATTTCCATCCTTCCAGTAACTATAGGCTATGATATGAATTTTTATAAGAAATTTAAAACTTGTTCATCGATTTCTCAATTACTAGTTTCTCTCTTGTTCTAGAAATCTTCTGAGGCATCAGTTCAGGAACCTGCAGAGCAAGGTGTTTCCAGTATATTTCTCGTTGGTTGGGGTCTATTGTGCAATATCCATGGAATCCTTCACCCTCCATCCATGGCGATCATTGTCCTCTGCGGAACATATCAGCTTGGGTTTTTTATCTCTTTCTTTGCCTTCAATCTCGCCAATTTGTTCATATTCACACCCTTAATCAATTAAGGGCAATTTTGTCATGAAACGATGGTGAACAGTGTGTTTTATTTTCAAAGATAATTTTGATATTACTATATGTCTTATGATATACATAACTGACGGTCCATTAACAGCAGGTACTAGATTGTTGCGTTTTGAAAATTCAAGTACTGAATTGTTGCATTTTAAAGTTTGAGGATCAAATTGTCACTCGAACCAAAGTACACGTACTGATCGGAAATTTTCCCAAAAGTTAAATTACAAAGACTCATTCTACTATGGGTTCAAGCAACAAGTATCCCCTAAAGTTTCATTTGCAATAGAAATCTCCTCCTACTATGGCAGATGATGGAGTTAAATTACCAAAATATCCATATAAGCTTTCTTTATTTTCTTTTCTTCACCCATTTTCTAATTGATCCAAAAATATCTCTATTGTTGTATCTCCATCACTTCTCGCCAAAAGAGAAAATAAATTCCAACAAAAATTACGAGGGAAGGAAAAAAAAAATTCTGATAGCATCTTGAATTACAATGAAAACAAGATATATAGTTTGTCATTGTCGGGTTGCAGAGCGTCGCCTTGAGGCCTATTGGTCCATCCGCCATTGCAATGTTGTATTATATTTAGCTAGTCCAGTAATAATATATATTGTTAAGTGCACAACCTCTTCGGCTTTCTCAAATTGTTATAAAGATTTAAGAATGAAATGATCATCTACCGGTTTTAAAGGTTGGAGAAGAGAAATAGATGGGGGAAATTATTTACAAATGCCACAAAATAAGGTTTTTATTGAACAGTGGCAACATCTAGTTGGACCAACATTGGTTAATGGCCAATACTTCTTGCTCCATTCAGTAGGTCAAGTTTATCACCTAATTCCTCCTTATTCCAAAGTGGGAAAGACCACAGATGGCAACGGAGCGGCTTCAAACCATATGAAATGTGCAGAGAGGATATGAAATGTGCTATCTAGGTCTCTAGTAATGACCAAGCCATTTGAAGAGTATGCTTGAAATGAGATTGGTGTTTTGTTTGAGATCTAGATAAGAAATAGATCATCTATTAGTTGTTGGTCTTTGGTTGTAAATAATATGGAATTTCCTCTACATAGTTTCTTGTTGTCTTTGTCAGGTTTTCTCACTTTTATGAATATATATGCAAGACATCATAGGGGATGTTTGGAACCGTGGCCGTTTTTCAAAAAAATAGTGCCACGTCGGATCCATATAGGCATTTCAACAAACACTCATATATTTCATTATTTGGTTCAGACGTTTATTGAAAAATTGGGTGTGCCTTGTAAATCGAGACCCCATCGATGCATGAAACGTCAAATTTGGCGTCATTTCATGCATCGGTGAATTGTTTCCCCCAACGGTTGACTGATTGGCGATGACGTGTATCCTATGTTTTCTTGAAAATCGGTCCCAATAAATACCCACGCTTCCAAACACCATCATAGTTGTTATATTGCTATAAATATAGTTAATATTATATTCAGAAACAAACTGA